CCTAAGGTCCTACAGCTGTGGAGGCCAGCTCCTCCTAAGCCTGGGTCAGAAGGAGGGGAATGCTCCCTCCCTCCAACCACCTCCTCCAAGACTACTGCAGGCATCCACATAGGAAGCATGTTTAAAGATAAACTAGCTGACACATGGCTCAATGAGGGAAAGGCACTGCTAAGCCTGACTATTTGAATTTGATCCTCAAGATCCACATGGTCGACAGAGAGCCAACTCCTGCAAGTTGTCCTCTGATGTCCACAGGTGCACTGTGTCACCTGCATGTCACCCCACCCTCTACCCCATGCACACAAAATGGATAAATAAAAAGGTAATCATTTCTAAAAGATAAAATAGCTGAATTGACTATGTTTTGAGAGCTGGAGAGCACCTGTCACCAAGACTGACACCTGAGTTTAGTTCCAGGACCCACATGGTAGGAGAGGACTGACTCCACAAAGCTGTCCTCTGACCTCCACACATACGTGCTGATACACACACCCCTAAAATTTAAAAATTAAAAGTGTAATTCAAAAGACTGGAGAGATGGTTCAGTTAAAACTACTTGTTGCTAATCCCAGAACTCAGGAGACAGAGGCAGGCAGATCTCTGAGTTTGAGGCCAGCCTGATCTATATAATGAGTTCCAGGACAAAGTCAGAGTTACATAATGAGACCTTGTCTTTAAAATAGCCTAATAGCCGGGCGGTGGTGGTGCATGCCTTTAATCCCAGCACTTGAGAGGCAGAGGCAGGTGTATCTTTGTGAGTTCGAGGCCAGCCTGGTCTACAGAGTGAGATCCAGGAAAAGGCGCAAAGCTACACAGAGAAACCTTGTCTCAAAAAATCTCAAATAAATAAATAAATAAATAAATAAAAATAGCCTAATAATAATAATTTAAACAACAACAGAAAACAGGCTCCTGGGGAGGGAAAAAGAAGCATGCAACACATCAAATATACACACAGCATCAGGCAACCTCCCTGGAGCCCTGCATGTTAACTACCAGATCCTTTCTATATGACAAAGTTTATTCCTTAAAAAGGCAAGAATGCCTTAAATCCTAGCACTCGGGAGGCGGATCTCTTCGAGTTTGAGGCCAGCCTGGTCTACAGAGCGAGATCCAAGACAGGCAGCAAAACTATACAGAGAAACCTGTCTTTTTTTTTCCCCCTCTTTTTTTCCTTTTTTTCTTTTTTTCCAGAGATGAGGACTGAACCCAGGGTCTTGCGCTTGCCTAGCAAGTGCTCTACCACTGAGCTAAATCCCCAACCCGAAACCCTGTCTTGAAAAACCAAAAAGCAAGAATGCTGAGAGAGGGCCAATGAAATGGCTCAGTGAGTAAAAGTGCTTACATCCAAGTCTGATGGACCTGAGTTTGATCCTGTAAACTCACAAGTGAAAAGAGAGAACCAATTCCCAATTGCTGTTCTATGACTCCCACACATGTACAATGGTACTTGTGCACCTCCACATCCATACAAACACAGTAATGCTTTTAAAAGTAAACAAAAAAGGAGGTAGGAAGGAAGGGGAGGGGAGGGGCAGGAGGCAGCAGCTGAGACTTTCAGTGATCTCTGTGGTTATTAATGACCTGTCCAGAGATGCCTGCCCAGCCCTCCTTACTCTCCATCTACGTTCTGTTCTCAGGTGTCCTCAGGATTCAGCCTTTGGTTTCAACCCTGTTTGTGTCCTCCTGCAGGGCTCTTTTCCTATCTTGCTCACTGCTCCATTCTCTCAGCCTTCAGCAGCCACAGAAGCAGTATCCCATCTTTACCCTCTACCTTCAGCATGCATGTCCCCCAAGGTCAAGTCCCTGCCACCCTTCTCTGGTTTCAGAAAAATGATTCAGTGACTTCAGACAAGCAAGTTGGGTGGCTCATCCTGACCAGAATAATTATCAAAGGTGATCAAATAACAATGACAATAAGCCAAAGCCAATTCTACTTAGAGACTACAAGCAAATATGAAAGTAAGCCAGAAAAATACTAGACAGTGACAAGTGCTATGCAAAGAATAGGTAATACAGGGTGGAGAGATGACTCAGCCATTAAAAGCACTTGCTCTTCTTGCTGAGGACCCAGGTTCGGTTCCCAGCACTCACATGGCAGCTCACTCTAACTCCAGTTCCAGGGGAACAGTTCTTCTTACCTCAGAGAACATACCGAATGCACATGGTACTCTTACATACATGTAAGCAAAACACTCACACACATAAATAAAAATAAATTAAAAAAAAAAAGAAGAGGAGGAACCAAGAAAATAGCACAGCTGGTAAAGACACTTGCCTCCAAGCAAGATGACCTGAGTTCTATCCCCAGGTCCCACATGGTGGAAGGAGAAGTCCTGAAAGCTGTCCTCTGACCTCCACACATACTGCTACAGTGGTGAGTGTACACACACACACACACACACACACACACACACACACACACACACACACACGAGATGGATAAATAAATGTGAAAAATAAATGTGAAAAAACCTTATTAAATCAAATTTTAAAAAAGACAAATAAGGTAATGGGACAGACAAGTGTATTGGTAGCTCACGGAATCCTCAGGTGGTCAGGAAGGCCTCTTTAAGGAGATGATTTAAAAGCTGTGCAGCTGTGCTCTTAATAGAAGAAGACAGACCAAAGAGAAAGCTTTCTAAGTAAAAAAAAACACTGTAAATGGGCGGTGGTGGTGCCCGCCTTTAATCCCAGCACTCGGGAGGCAGAGCCAGGAGGATCTCTGTGAGTTTGAGGCCAGCTTGGTCTACAAAGCAAGTTCCAGGAAAGGCACAAAGCTACACAGAGAAACCCTGTCTGAAAAACCAAAAAAAATGGGATTGGGGATTTAGCTCAGTGGTAGAGCATTTGCCTAGCAAGCCCAAGGCCCTGGGTTCAATCCTCAGCTCAAAAAAAAAAAAAAAAAAACACTGTAAATGTCCAATGGAAATACTGCTGATCTTTTCAAGACAGGGTTTCTCTGTGTAGCCCTGGCCATCTTGGAACTCTCTTTGTAGACGAGACCAGCTTCAAACTAACAGAGATCCACCTGCCTCTGCCTCCTGAATGCTGGGATTAAAGGTTTGCACCACCACTGCCTGGTCCTTATTTTTTTTTTAATTTATGTGTATGAGTGTTTACAAGGATGTCCTTGCACCATGTGCATGCAGTGGCCAAAGAGGCTAGAAGAGGGCATCAGATCCATCAGATCCCCCAAAACCACCATGTAGGTGCTGGGAACAGAACCCAGGTCCTGTGCAAGAGCAGTCAGTGCGGTTTTTTTGTTTGTTTGTTTTTTGTTTTTTTGAGATAGGGTTTCTCTGTGTAGTTTTGGTACCTGTCCTGGATCTTGCTCCGTAGACCAGGCTGGCCTCAAACTCAGAGATCCGCCTAACTCTGCCTCCTGAGTGCTGGGATTAAAGGTGTGTGCCACCACCGCCCAGTGATCTTTTATTTTCATCCTATTTTCTATTTATTTAAGCACTTAATACGAGCTAGTTCAGTATCCTCCATTCAGGAAGCCCCTTGTGATTAAAATAGGGTTTTTTTTTTTTTTTTTGGTTTTTCGAGACAGGGTTTCTCTGTGTAGCTTTGCGCCTTTCCTGGAACTCACTTGGTAGCCCAGGCTGGCCTGGAACTCACAGAGATCCTCCTGGCTCTGCCTCCCGAGTGCTGGGATTAAAGGCATGCGCCACCACCGCCCGGCGATTAAAATAGTTTTAAATGTGTGCACTAAGTGAACTTGGTATTTCTCAACCATCTACTCCTCTTTAATAAGAACTGCTTAATTCCTAAGTGATCCTTTGGTTCTGTCTCCCTCCTCTGGACTCCTATAACGTTGACATTCTCCACATAGCCCAGACTTGGACAGTGCAGCTTTTCTGTCCTCGGTGGCGGTTCCATGTGCCACTCTGTATGTCTAAGACATATGGTCTTCAATTGATGAACTATGAAGCCATCTATACTGCAACCTAGCTCTGAGAGTCCCTCCTCCCTTTCTGTTCACTAGTAGAATGGATTACAATTTCTAAATGTTTGTTTTCTTTTTAATTCTGTGGATGTGTCTGTGTATGCACAAGTTAGTGTGGGAGTCCATGGAAGCCTAGGGCTGGAGTTACAAGTGGTTGTGAGCAGCCAGAGTAGATGCTAGGAACCAAACTCATGTCCTCTGCGAGAACAATCAGCAAGCACTCTTAACTAACTAGCCATGTCTCTAGCTCCTTGGTTACAATTCCAAATACAATACTCTTTTTTTTTTTCTTTCCTGAGACAGGGTTTCTCTGTGTAGCCTTGGTTCACCTGGAACTTGCTCTGTAGACCAGGCTGGCCTCAAAGTCACAGAGCTCCACCTGCCTCTGCCTCCTGAGTTCTGAGATTAAAGATGTGCACCACCACTGCCCTGTTTTTAAATACAACATTCTTCTAAGGACACTCAAATGCAAAATAAGTTCAAAAAGTTCGACAATAAAAGATATACAAAGTAAATTTAGCCTGCACCTGACACAAAGTAAGATCAGCCTGCACCCAAGGTACGGTATTTCCCTCCAGTTCTATCAGACTCCGGGCTCCCATGCCAGGAGGGCCTCGACTCACCAGGACTCAAGGGCAGTCTCAAAACAACAACAGAAAGTCAAGCGTGGAATCAGGTGACTGCATCATCACCACCACAGCTCACTCGGAAGCCCCTGACTACTGTAAGCACTTTACACAGCATTTAACCTGGTAAATGAGAAAAACCACAGCATACGGCAGTGGCAACAAAGAAGGCAAAGTCTAGGTCTAAGAATCCCAAGGGCCCATTCTGGTGTTTGATAGTGATCAGACCAGGAATGGGAAGAAGGGATGTCTAGTCGATGCAGGGCTTGGTTATAAGCGGATGGGGCACCAGAGAAGGAGCACAGCATGCTCATCATGAATGCAAGATATCGGGGCTGGTGATGCAGCCCATTTGCCTAGCATATATGAGGCCCTGGGTTCAATCCCCAGCACTGCAGAAACAGAAACACACACACACTCACCGTAAGTTCTCCCTGTGAACTGAAGAAGGCTGACATCAATGCGTAGGAACAGAACACCAACTCTTAAGCCACAGTAAGCATCATCTAGAACAGAGAAACACCTTCATGTCACTCAACAGGAAAGTGGCTAAATAAAACAAAGCATTATCCATTTTATGAAATACTATATAGCAGCCAAAAATAATGAAATGACTACTTACTAACATGGGATACTGCCAAGGCCCATTCTTTGTTGTTTTATTTTGTTTTTGAGAAAGAGTCTTACTATGTAGCCTTGCCCTGACCTGGAGCTTGCTATGTAGATCAGACTGGTCTTGAACTCATCCAGATCCAGCTGCCTCTACCTCCCTGAGTGCTTGGATTAAAGATGTGCTCCACCACAGTGGCTGAAGGCCCATTCTTAGACAAAGAAGGAAATGTCAGAATAATGCATAGCATCTCTATCATTTGTGGAGATAAAACTTAAAGATCTAATTTTTTTCCTTGGGTTCACACATTCCAAAGATACATTCTCTCTAGAGAACAGAAATGGGAGAAGGAATCAAAGACTGCTATATTCCACATAAATTACTAAATTCCAAGCATGCTGATGTTTGTGGTGCTGGGAATAAAGTGCTCTACCACTAAGCTGCATTCCATCCCCAAACAGAATGAGCAGGAGGAGAGGAAGGCTACAAAGGACACCAGCTTTAAGTACTGCATTTCCTGTCCCTCCCACCCAACACAGCCTTCCTGGTCGCATGGCTTCACACTTGCCCACATCTTAACATATTAACATAGCCTCTCAATGCCATGTTCTCTCCTGAACCTCTGGGCCCAGGCTAGTCTTAGCTACCAATAATCCACTGGGACCACTGAATGTGGAAGACAAGGGAAGACATGCAGTTGGCACTGACCCAGCAGAAATCCCAAAGGAGCGGGATGTTCTGTGGACTAAAAGCAGTTCTGGAGTGCTACGAAATGACGCAGGGGTATCCCAGTGAGGTCATGTGGTGACCCAGTCTTACTAGAAAGAGTTAAGTGAAGTGCTATGCTCTGGGAGGGGGTTTATGGTGAAGGGCAAGGACAGGAGAACAGCAGAGAGAGGCCAGAGACTTGGACAGAAAGGAGGCGAGGAGGTCCTACGGATGAGACAAGAAGTTGAGATAAAACCTTTTGGAGCAAGGCAGAGTGGTGTACACCTGTAATCCTAACACTAAAGGCTGAGACAGGAGAATTAGGAGTTCAAAGCTAGTCTCGGCCAGCTACACAGAGAAATCTGGGTAGGGCACTGGGGGTGGGCAATGTTCTCTTCAGGAAAGCAAGGCTGAGGTTGTGCAGCCCTCTGGTGACTGCACTCGTAACTTTCAGCTTCCTGAGCAGTAAACATATGTATTTGGTTGTGTTTTCCTGGTTACCCAAAGAAATGACACTGCCCAGATCTTACCCAACAGCTGATTCATCACCTCTCTCATCACAAGCTCACATACCAGGTGGCTCTAGAAAAAAATAAGCTACTGTGAGCTGTCAAAGTCCTCTTGGACCTGACCTCACCCTGTAGAGCAGGTTTCATTTCAAAACTGAAAGGACTAAGGGACTGGGGAAATCCAAAGCTCAACAGACCAGGAACAGGTGGTTCCCATCAGAAGAGTCCCAGGCTGGAACTCAAACAGAAACCAGACCGCTGATAAGACAGTTTATGGCGTCTGTCTCCAAGCTTTGGCAGCTGATTAGGTTGTCCAGTATTTACAACAGGGCATGATCACACTTATCAAGCTCCAGGCTACTCAAAACCTCTATTCTCCAAAGTTGAAGCAACTTTCTGATCTTATAGAGTTTGAGAATTATGAGGTAGATCCATTAATGGAACACCAGGGCACAGGAATCTTCAAGTCTTTCACATGGGCCACATTTTGAGTGTAAAGAGTTTTGTTACCTCTTCTTGATTCCTCAGGAACTGCTGGCAGATTCCTGTCTCAGAAACACTTTCTAATTTACTCCTAATGAGCCTTTGCTGTGGGGTGACTGGAGCACTGGTGACAGCTCAGCAGGAGTTATGTGCCTGATAACTTCATAAATTCATGGTGGCTAGCTGTGACTCAAGGCACGTCACTCCACTTTTCTGGGTTCAGTCTCAGTCTCTTCGCCCATAACATAGAGAGACTGGAAAGCACCTGCACCAAGAAAAAGCTTAAGTTCTAAAATCAGAGTTACTTTTCAAAGGCACACCTGGGCACTCGATGGTAAAATTCAGGCATAAATAAAATCCGCAAACTCCAGTGGTAACCCGTTACTGCTTACAAAGGACTGAGGAAGGACCAGCACAGGCCACTGGCACATGCTGCTGGCACTGGATGCTTCATCTGCATCTCTAGAATCCCAAGATGCCAGAAAGTTGCTGACTGTGATCAAGCAGTCAAGAATCCTGAACACTGTGAAGACACCATTCACACAGGACCAAGTGTGCTGAGACATGCAGATGATCCCACCACTCAGCAGGCTAAGACAAGATGTCAGCTCTGAGGCCAGACTACATAAGTGCGACCCTGTCTAGAACAAAAGAGCAACAAAAAAAAAAAAGACATCAGGGGCTGTAGAGATGCTCAGAGGTTAAGAGCCCTAGCTGTTCTTCCAGAGGTCCTGAGTTCAATCCCCAGCAACCACATGGTGGCTCACGATCATGTACGATGAGATCTGGTATTCTCTTTTGGCATGCAGGCATATAAGCAGCCAGAATACTGTATACTTAATAAATAAATCTTAAAAAAAAAAAAAGCACTACTGACAATAACTACATAATGCAAGCTGGGGCTCTGGTTGGATGCCGAGCTACCATCACGAGGACCTGGGTCCCATCCTTAGCTCAAAGAGAAACAAAATTTTAAAAAGAAAAAAAAAAAAGGAAAGGAAGTAGGGCAGTGAGAAGGAGGGAAAGGGGAAGAAAATGTAAATCACAATCACACTATAGACTATAGACTGCTATTCAGCCAATAAAAGTTAACTTTTTATAAGTCTGTCATTTGCAACAACATGGACTCAAGCTAGGCACAAAAAGCAAGCACTGTACACTCTCCTCATCCATGGAAATAAGGACGATGATCTCAAGACAGCCAGGAATGGAATGGTGGTCAGAGGCTGGAGAGAGAAGGAATGAGGGGGGAGAGGTTACAATTAGGAATATGCAGAGTTTGGCCACGCTAAGTCAAAGAGGAAGACTACAAAAGTGATAATGTGTCATACATTCCAGAAGCTAAAAGATAGAGTTTGAATTTTTTTTTTTTTTGGTTTTTATCACAAAGAAAGGATTAATGTTTAAGGGATAGGTGCTACAGTTTAACCTAATTGAAACACTGCACAATGTACATACATGTGAAAACACCACACTGCCCCCCAAGAAATATACTTGACATCTGTTTTTCAGTTTACAAATGAATTTAAATTTTAAAATGTACTGTTTACTGGAGGGGTGGTATGTCATGTGTATAAAGGTCAAAGGACAGCCTATGGGAGCCGGTTCTCCTGCCACCATGTGAGTCCCAGGGATCCCACTGAGCCACAAGTCACACATACTCATTCCCCTCTTCTAAGAAAAACACTCCAAGAACTTTTTCACACTAGTATTTAAAACTAGAACAAAACCAAGAAAGACAAAGCATATGAGGAACACGTTTTTTTTCTCAGCACCTAAAATACCTTTCAGTGAGGTAAGCTGTGTCTTCAGACAGCCACTGACACAGCAGTCCCTGCTCCCAGGTCTGTGAGTCGCTCAACACCTAGTGGCCTAGTAAAGTAAATGCAGCTTGAATAACTTCCAGCCATTTTGTGATTTTCTCAAGATGCCCAGGAGAGCCCTTGATAAAATTCCCCAGCTTCTGTGAAACTGAAGACTCCCCCTCCACCCACCCATTCTCCAAGCTAGGAAAGACTGTACACATCCCTGATTTCTTCTCCACGGTGAAAAAGACTATGCACCTTGGAGTAAATAATGACAAGAAGTGATACACATCTGCCCGACTTAAGAGGTAAGAGGGCTTCTGTGCAGGGTGACCCAAGTGAAAAAAAAAAAAAAAAAGGCTATAGGGAGACTACAAGTGTGCCTGGACACAAGCTAGGGCTGGCTGTCTGTGGGAGATGGACTAGCTCTATGGGGCTCCAGGTTAGCCTAAATTTAATGAGACATCGCAATTAAATTTCAACTCAAAACAAAAAATAAAGCCTGGCATCTCAGCAACCCCATGTACTCAGGAGGCTGTGGCAAGACTGTAAAGGCTAGACAGCAGGATCAACCATGTCTCAAAAAAAAAAAAAAAAAGAGAGAAATAATCTTTTGTTAATGACAACTATGCAACAATATTATGGGGAAGTAAGTCAGACATGGATACATGGTGATACATGATGATACACGACTATATTCCTAGGGAGGCCAAGGCAGGAAGATTAAGAATTTCAGGCCAGCCTGAGCTACAGAGCAAAACTGTCTCAAAAAAAAAAAAAAAAATTAGGGGAAGTAGTAAAGTGATGCCCTTCCCCGTCAGTGGAGGCCCTGGAACAGAATAGGGTGGACGTCTGTCAGGGGAGAGAAGAAAGCATGTCTGTAGTAGACAGCAGATCAGGAGACTATGTTAAACACTTCAAAGGTTCTTGGGCTCTAAACGATCATCATCCTGAGCTAAAAAGTCACTGACAACACTAAAGACTCTCTCCTGCTTGTTTCTTCAGACCCCAGCTCTATAACCCAGTGGCTGGAGGCACAGACCTGACACGACCATCTCAACAACGTGGACACACCACTGAACTGTTTTTCTCAGCTGTTATCTGCACATTTTGTTTAGCAGTCATTACTCGCCTAAGATTACTATGAAGATAAGTTACAGGATACGAGGAGTTAAGTTCTTTTTTTTTTAAAGACTTTTTTATTATGTATACAGTATTCTGTCTGCATGTATCCCTGCAGGCCAGAAGAGGGCACCAGATCTCATTACAGATGGTTGTGAGCCACCATGTAGTTGCTGGGATTGAACTCAGGACCTCTGGAAGAACAGTCAGTGCTCTTAACCATTGAGCCATCTCTCCAGTCCCACTAGTTAAGTTCTTAAAACAGTGCTGCACACACGAAAACGTACAAAACCGACATTTTGAAGAGACAAGGAGAGGAAAGGTGGGGCGGGGAGTGACCTGCTTGCTTTAGCTAACCTTACCCAAGCCTCAACCAAAGTGTCCCCAGCTGTTGCTGACCAGAGGCTGAGTTCCCTTGGTCACTGGCCTCAAGAAAGAGCAGAGCTACCATGTTCATGGAGTGCTCATCTCTTGGCCTTAAAGCTGGAATCTTCTGAGACAGGCCACCTTTGACTTTGCAAGTGCCTCACTCCAAATTCAGTGCTGAGCAGTGCTACCCTCCTTTTTATTATCAGTCAGCATTCAAGAGGACCTCAGAGACCCTTGAGACTGATACTTTGCTCAATACATGAGGGCAAAAAGTCTAAAAGTAAGTGAAGTCCTAGGTATAAATTGGAGCAAAGTCAGGTAGTCATGGGCCATTATTTCTAGTGACCAAAATCTTCCCATTTTTCAGGAAAAGAAAAACGGTGCTTTTGACCTGTTGAGTCATCTCTCCAGCCCCTTATTACCTGTTAAATCACACAATCATATAACATACTTTTTAAATTTTGTATTTTGTATTTTTTTGATTAGGAATGTTTGACTGGTTTTTTAAAAAAAGTAAAGAAATCTTGCAAATACTGAAAAAAAAAAACCTAAGATTAAAAAAAAATGTACTCCTTAGTATTTCACATATGGGGTGTTCAACTGGCATTATACACTTTTCATATGGGCAGCAGGTGCAGGTATCTGCAGCCAGAACACTGCTCAAATCCCAGCTCTACCATTATTAACAGTATGGCTCTAAGTGAGCCTCCTAACCTTCTTCAAACAATATAAAACAAGAGTGATTATTCACAAGGTTCAAGGATTAAAGGAGCTAATTCCACGTAAAGTCCACACCAGAGTTCTCAGGGTACGCTGATTGCTCTGCTTCTCAGCGTTACTAATTGCTTATAGACAGACTAGGAGCTGGAGAAATGGCTCTGAGTGGTTAAGAACACTTGCTGCTCTTGCAGAGGACCCGAGTCCAGTTTCCAGGTGGCTACATCAGGTGCCTCACAACTGCCTATAACTCCATCTCCAGAAGGACCCAACACCCTCTTCTGGTCTCCACAAGCACCCACACACATGTGCCTAACAGACACATACATCAAACAATAACAACAACAACAAATGGTAAACATAACGAGAAACAAGATCTTACTTCTAGTCCAAAGAAGACAAGAACACTAAGGCATACATATTTAGCTTGTATTTCTGGCCCAGGGAACGTCCAGCCCTTCAGCAACCAAGCATTCTTTCATTTCTCTGCATCTGGGGAAAAACTGACTCAGAACAGAGGCACAGGCAGTAAGATGCTTAAAATCACAAAGGAAGGTCAGGAGGAGAGAACCCAAGCACACCCAAAAAACTAAAACTCACCTCAAGTTCAGCAAGACACATCTCTAGTCCAGTCTCTCTCACCATCAAAAGTGACGCAGCAGAATGCTAGCAGCAAAAGCTCTGAAGTTCAACTGCCTGAGACAAACTCTGGTCCACCCCTTACAGGCTGTGTGACATATGCAAATGAATTCACTTTTCTCTGTGCTATCCTTCTTTGTGAGAATTACATTGCAATTATGACATTTGAGAAGTACATTCTATTTGCTTAATATTATGCCAAGCACTGTACCTGGCCATGCAATTTACATGCCACAACCTACAGAATGCCATCATTCTACAGAAGTGCTCAAGGCCACACAGTTACTGGCAAAACTGAAACATCTGTGTAAGAGGCCTGCTTCTAGAGCCTACGTTCCCAGTCTTTAACTCCTCCGCCTCTCCAACTACAAACAGAAAATGGCCATGTGCTGAAACAAAAGCAACTCCATAAGCGCTCAGCACAGGGTCTGGTCAGCCTTGCTGTGACAGAAGCTGGCATTACCCCTGTAGTTCGGATCACACCTTCACTAACGGAGAGGGAGAGTTTGATTTTCTGGTGCTGGGATCAAATACTCTGACCAAAAACATTAAGAGGAAAGAGTTTATTCAGCTTCTACTTCCAGGTCACAGCCCACTGAGGGAAGTCAGGGCAGGAACTCAAGCAGGAGCTAGAGAAGAAACTATGGAGGAATGTGCTCGCTTATTCACTTGCTCATACTCAGCTAGTTTTCTTATACAGCTTAGGCCCACCTGTCTAGCGATAATGCCACCCACACTGGGCTGGGTCCTCTCCCATCAATCAAGACACTCTTACACTCGCTCACAGACAAAGCACAGGCCAATCTGATTGAGGCAATTCTTCAATTGGGGAGGGGAGGGGAGGAGAGGAGATGGCAGGCCAACAGCAGGCACACTGAAAATGGAATTGGGACAGGAAGAGCACAGTGACCACTACAAAATCAGCCTGTGCTATGTGAAAGTATCTCAAACAACAACAATAAAAGTTGGCAGGATGGCACAAGTGGAAAGTTCACATCTGATTTCATGTGGTTGGACAGTCCAAAGCAAGTACACTACAGACACTGTGAAAAATGTCCTTTAAAGCTTCATGTACAGATATAACAAACACAAACCTCACATGCAGACCGGGGTTCCACTCGGTAAAGCTCACTGTGTATATGCAAATATTCTGGAACCAAAGCACCTCTGCTCCACACCATGCTGGAAACTCAATCTGCAATTTCTTACCAGCCTCCTTGTGTCCTTACCACCTATAGGAGACACCCCTTTCTTTTACTACTGATACGGTCTATGAAATTCTTACATTTATTTTCCTTTTTTACATATCTGAGCAGTTTGCCTGCATGTATGTCTTATGCAATGCCAGTGGAAGCCAGAAGAGGGCTTCAGAGCTCTTGGAACTGAGTTATAGACCATTAACTGCCACGTGAGTGCTGAGAATTGAACCCAGGCCCTCTGGGTAAACAGCAAGTGCCCTTAGCTGGTTAGCCATCTCTCTAGCCCTGGAGATAACAGATTTTAACAATCAATAATGTTGAACAGATGCTTTGTCTGGTTGAAGGAACTGTCTCTGAAAACAAAAAATCTCTGATAGCATCTCACTCGTGTGCTTAGTAGGTGGGATCAGAGAAATGACCTAGTGAAACATATTTCTGTTGTTCTGAATAAAGCAGCAATTTCTCTTGAATTCTTTCCCCTCCTTTCTAACTCAAATATCCTCGCCAACTACACAAAGTTCTACGTTTACACATACATTTTTCCTTAAAAACAAAGCCTGACAGACGACTCAGTGGTTAACAGCACTTGCTCTTGCAAAGGACTCTGGTTCAAACCCATATGGTAGTTCACAACTATCTGTAATTCCAGTTCTAGAAGAAAATCCCTCTGCTGACCTCTTTTGGCACCACACAGGTGGTGTACATACTTACATACAGGCAACAACTTATTTACTTAAAAAACAACAAACAAACAAACAAACACAAACCACCAGCCAGAACACTATATACATAATAAATAAATAAATAAACAAACAAATAAATCTTAAAGAAAAAAATTAGGTAACACAGCCAGGTGGTGGTGGCACATACCTTTAATTCCAGCACTAGAGAGGCAGAAACAGGTGGTCTACTGGTCTATAGAGTGAGTTAGAAGACAGCCATAGTCATTAAACAGAGAAACCCTGCACAAAAAAAAAAAAAGGTAACACAAATCCCCTCCGTTCTTCCTGAAACGGCTGACTTTAGAAGGGCTGTGTTCTCTGTCTTTATGCTCTCTCTAACCAGAACCTCCTTCCCTACTACCCACTCTACCTGTGGGACTCCGAATGTCATCCTAGCCTTCTCAGATTCGTTCCAAAGCCAAAGGCCCTTCTCTGCATTCCCACTGCACACTCTGCTATTTTATATCCTAAGACTTAACATGCTGTCCTGAATTGCTTGTCTGTCTTCTTTCCTGGACCATAAATAATGTGGAAAGCAAAGACAAAAATCTCATTGGAGGCAGGGGGAGCGACAGAGGGAGGGTAGAGAGTGGTCGGTTTGAGAAAAAGTCTTACAGTAACTAGTTGCAATCCACACGTCAGCTTCCCACTGAAATTATAGGGGTGCACCACCACCACCTGGCTTCAGCCCTTCTTAGATCCCAGTGTATAGGATATATCAAGAAATTAGTGATTATTTACTGACTGGATATAATGACTTTTATGCTAAAGTATCTTCTGTGATATTTTTTCCTTGTTGTTCTGAGACAGGATTTCACACTATACCCTACACTAGCCTCAAACTCATCCTCCTGCCTCAGTCTCCCAACCGCTGGGAATACAGGTATGCACCCCCATTCCCAGCTCCATTCTGTGACTTTTGTAATATATATTTCCCTGATAAACCAACTGAATTTAGGTTAGTATTAAAATTATTGGCATGGAAACCTATCTCCAGCTGACAGCAAAAAGGAAAAAAAAAAATCCCCACTTGTTAAAGGGAATAGAGAATTGGGGGGTGGAGAGGTGGAGAGGTGGAGAGGTGGCTGCAATTCTAGGTGATTGGTGCCCTCTTCCGGCATCCATAGGTACGAGACATATATGTAGTACGTAGACATACATGCAGGCAAAACATCCAAATGTATAAAAAAAAAAAGTTTATTTTTATTTTTGCTTTTTTTTTTTTTTTTTTTTCTTTTGAGACAGGGTTTCTCTTTGTGGCCCTGGCTGTCCAGGAACTAACTCCATAGACACGGTTAAATCTGAACTCAGAGCTCTGCCTGCCTCTGCTTCTTGAGTGTGCTGGGATTAAAAGTGTGCGCCACCACAGCCTCACAGCCAGCCCTCAACAAACAAACAAACAAACAAACAAACAAACAAAAATCCAAAATCAACCCAGAAATTCTCAGGCCAGCTCCTGTGTATGGTGCCCATGCTTATAGGCTATAGGACTGATGGACTCCCATACATTAACATACATTATTATAACAGGAGATCCAACACCTTCTGACTTCTGTAAGCACTGTACACATGTGGTGTGTATACAAACAAGCAGGCATACACATACACACACACACACAAAAAATAACTTTTTAAAGATTTTTAGGGACTATAGAGATGGCTCAGTGGTTAATAGTGTGTGTGTGTATGTGTGTGTGTGTGTGTGTGTGTGTGTGTGTGTGTGTGTGTGTGTGTAAAATACAGTATGTTTAGAAAATACATGGAAAATCATATACTTTCTTCTCTCTGTCTTATTCTTTTAGCATTTTCCTTCCCTCCGTTCCTTATCTTCTATCTTTTGCATCTGCATTGTGTCCTGATCTTTCTCTTTAAGTCCCCTCCACACACCCATCCACATGCCTTACTGTTTGGGTATCTAGGAGCATCATTTTATCCAATAGAGAACTTGAGCCAAGAATGTTACTATATTTCCTGCTAACCTCTGCATGACACTAATGTTGTAGAATATTATTTTGTATTTTTTTTTCCGAAGCTGAGGACAGAACCCAGGGCCTTGGACTTGCTAGGCAAGCGCTCTACCACTGAGCTAAATCCCCAACCCACAGAATATTATTTTAAGATGTTACATTTGGGGCTGGAGAGATGGTTCAGCAGTTCAGAGCACTGGTTACTCTTCCAGAGGTCCTGAGTTCAATTCCCAGCAACCACATGATGGCTCACAACCATCTGTAATGAGGTCTGGTGCCCTCTTCTGTCCTGCGGGCATACATGCAAGCAGAACATTATATACATAATAAATAAATCTTAAAAAAAAAAATGTTACATTTGTTTATGCTGTGGAACATTTCTTTAATGATGCAAAGATGTGTTGCATCATTTTTTTTTCCCCATTGCTTTAGGAGTTTTATTCCAGAAATTCAGAACAAACTGTTGGCAAATGAATAATAATACAGAGTACTCTTCACGGATAGTTTAATATTTAGAGAATAACTGAGCTATAAAGAATGTGTTTATGAGCACTATTGTTAGCCAGCACATTCCTCAGTGAGCAGGTGAAGGAAAAAACAACTGCATTATTCAAGGTTCTCTACCTGTAAAGGACTGGTAGAATGAATCTCTCTATGTATGAACAAAATGGATTTATTAGAATGTCTCACAACTGTGGTTCAGGTAGTCCATCAATGGCTGCTACCAATGGAAATTTGGAGAATTCAGTAGTTATTCAGTTCATGAGGCTGTATATCTCAGCTGGTCTTTAGTATACACCACAATTCTAAGGAAGCAGGCTCTAATGCTGGTAAAAGAATGAACTTGGAGCTGGGCGGTGGTGGCACACGCCTTTAAGCCCAGCACTCAGGAGGCAGAGCCAGGCAGATTTCTGTGAGTTCAAAAGTGTTGCCTTCTTTTATGTTGCATTTGTTTAATTCTGTAAAGCTGTGCTACTGTGCCTGTCTAAAACACCTGATGGTCTAATAAAGAGCTGAATGGCCAATAGTGAGGCAGGAGAAAGGATAGGCGGGGCTGACAGGCAGAAAGAATAAACAGAAGGAGAAACCTGGGAGGAGGAAAAGAAAGATCAAGGAATGAAAGGAGAGGACTTCAGAGGCCAGCCACCCAGCTACACAGACAGACACAGAGTAAGAAGGAAAGAAAAAGTATACAGGAATAGAGAAAGATAAAAGCCCAAGGGCAAAGACAGATGGGATAATTTCAGAAAAGCTGGCTAAATACGAGCCAAGCTTAGGCCAGGCATTTATAATGAAGAATAAGCCTTCCTGTGTGATTTATTTGGGAGCTGGGTAGCAGGCCCCCCAAAAGAGCAAAAATAACCAGCAACACATTAACATAGTTCTTGTGTCTATCAGGGAACCAAAAAATGACATCCTAACAGAAAACAGGGTCACCAGAATAAACTATTACAATCTGCAAAGTAGGCAGGAAATGTTTCTAAGCTGTACTTTCTCAGTTTACATTTTTTTTTATTTGGGGGTTGGGTGGGAAGTTGAAAGGATCAAAGCTAGGGCCATGGCACACCAGGCAAGGACTCCACCACTGAGCTACATGCCCCAGCCTTACTATAATCATTGTGTATGTGCAAATACCACATACATATGGGTGCCCACGGTTGTCTGAGGAGGCCAGAAATGGGTGTCAGATCCCCTAGAGGGGGAATTACAGGCAGCTGTAAGATGCCTGTGGTGATAGGGCAGTGAGTAGGCACACTTAACTGATAAGCCATCTCTCCAGACCTTATTTTTATTTTAGTTTTTGGTCAGATGTGGTAGCACACATCTTAAATTCCAGCACTCCAGAGGCAGAGGTAGGCAGACCTCTGAGTTCAAGGACAGCCTGGTCTACACAGTGAGACCCTGTCTGAAAAAAAATATAAAATGGAAGCTAGAGAAATGGCTCAGGGGTTAAGAGCACTTTCTGCTTTTACAGAGGACCCGAGTTCAATTCCCAGCATCCACAATGGGAAGTTCACAGCCTCCTGTAACTCCAGTTCCAGGAAACCCAACACCTTCTGGCTTCTGCAGGCACTGCACATGTGCGGTGTGCATACAGACAAGCAGGCATTCACATACACACAAAAAATAAAATTTTTTAAGTTTTTTAAGGACTACAGAGATGGCTCAGTGTAATAGTGTATATTAATAGTGTATATTATTCTTCCAGAGTACCTGAGTTCAACCTCAGCACCCATATCAGTTAGTGCATAACTGCCTGGAACTTTGGCTTCTGGGGTCCCAATAACTTATTCTGGCCTCTGTGGGCACTGCACTGATGTGTACAAACCCATACAGATACACATATATACACATAATCAAAATAAAGTTTTTTAGAGTAATTATATTTTCACTATGTGTGGGCAGGTATGTATACATGAAAGTTATTTTAAATATAAATGAAATAGGGGATAGAGAAATGGCTTGATGGTTAAAAACACTTTTGTGCCAGGCGGTGGTGGCGCACGCCTTTAATCCCAGCACTCGGGAGGCAGAGCCAGGCGGATCTCTGTGAGTTCGAGGCCAGCCTGGGCTACCAAGTGAGTTCCAGGACAGGCGCAAAGCTACACAGAGAAACCCTGTCTCGAAAAACCAAAAAAAAAAAAAAAAAAAAAAAAAACACTTTTGCTCTATCAGAGGACCAGAGTTTAGATCCCAACACCCACTCTGAAAGGCTCATAAAAGCCTGTAACTCTAGCTCCAGAAAATCTGACACCGTTTTGGCCTCTACAGGCACTGGCACAAATATGAGCATACACATATACACATACACACACACACACACAAGTAAAAAAAATTTGGGCGGGGTTGGGGTGGTTTTAAGAAAAGATTTCCCTCTGTAGCCTTGGCTGTCCTAGAGCTCACTCTGTAGACCAGACTGTCCTCAAACTCAGAGATCCACCTGCCTCTGCCTCTCGAGTGCTGGGATTAAAGGGGTTTGCCACCACTGCCTGGCTACAAACAAACGTTTAAAAAGATAAAAGTGAGTGTGACATACTGACACCAGTTTTTAATCCCAGCATTGGGAGGCAGAAGTAAGTAGATCTCTGTGAGTTCAAGACCAGCCTGGTCTACATAGCAAGTACCAGGCCAGCCAGGGATACATAGTGAACCCTGTCCCTGTCTCAAAAATAACTAAGAAATAAATAAGGAGCCAGCTTGGTGAGATTCCAGCACTTAACAGTGTAAGGTAGGAAAATTACAAATTTGAGCCAGCCTGGAGTACATAATGGGACTTTTATCTCAAAACAACAATAGGGGCTAGAAAGATGGTTCAGCAGTTAAGAGCACTGACTGCTCTTCTAGAGGACCCAGGTTCAATTCCCAGTATCCACATGGCAGCTCACAACTGGAGTCTGTAACTCCAGATTCAGGGGACTCAAGACATATGGCAAAGCACCAATGCACATTAAAAAAAAAAAAAAAAAAAGAATATGGAATACAGAGCCAGGTGTGGTGGCGCACGCCTTTAATCCCAGCACTCAGGAGGCAGACGCAGGTGCATCTCTGTGAGTTTGAGGCCACCTTGGTCTACAAAACGAGTTCCAGGACAGCCAGGGCTACATAGAGAAACCCTGTCTTGAAAAACCACACACACACACACACACACACACACACACACACACACACACACACACACACACACGAGGGAAGAGTCGTCTCTGGACACTTAACCCCGAAAGCCAAGGGCCTGAGGTCACTCTAGCAGCCATTCTTCTGAGTTCGAGTTCTACTTTCCTACTGTCTCGTCAGCCACAGGCATGGAGAAAAAGAACAATCGACAGCCAGGAGTCAGGAGACTTACCTCAAGTCCTAACAAGCTATCTAACCTTCAGCAAGTCTTTTCCCACCCACAGAGAGCTCTTCTGTGAAGTGCACACTTAATAAAAGTTGAACGGCAAGGCTGTCTGTGATACTTAAATAATGTAAATTCACTATCAAAGGGTTTACGTAGCATGTCAACATAAGCTAAGAGGAAATAAAAATCATCCCTCTGAATGGAGCATAAATCCTGTGGTTCAGCTTACAAAGTCTAGGCCTGACTCACCTTCCCAGACTTGTTAAGCCCCTTAACCAACCTGTGGTCACTTGAATTTGAGAAGAATCATGGATGATCTACAGGGGACTATCCAGTCCATTGCTCCATTATCTCAGTAACTTCACAGGCGGCTCCTCAGAACATGGAGTGTGGGTCTAAGGGGAGTAAAGAATGTGCTCAATGTGAGGTAAAACTGCCCCCTCCCCCAAAAGGATACACAAGCAAGGTCATCGAACAATACTGCCCCAAAACAAAATCCAAGAGCTTGGAGATTAGCTGGCCTTTTGTTTTATAGATGGGAACACTCAGGCCGGAACAGTTGGGTTATACAAGTCTCTCAGCCAGTGAGTCCCAGAGGTAGGACATAGGTCTGGGGAATCAACATCCTCTTCTGGCCTCAGCAGGCACCTCACACACAGGGCACACCTACATACATGTAAGCAAAAACACTCACATAAAATAAAAATTAGCCGGGCGGCAGTGGCACACGCCCTTAATCCCAGCCCTTGGGAGGCAGAGGCAGGAGGATCTCTGTGAGTTTGAGGCCAGCCTGGACTACAGAGCAACTACAGTCCTGGATCCAGGACAGGCAGCACTGTTACACAGAGAAACCCAGTCTAGAAAAAAACAAAAGAATAAATAAATAGATAGATAGATAAATATTAAGTTTCTTTTTAAAAGATGAAATCAGCCTGGCAGTGATGGTATTCTGCAGCTAGTTCCAGAACAGCCAAGGTTTTTACACAGAAAAACCCTGTCTCGAAAAAACAAAAACAAACCAACCAAAAATAAAGGAAATGAAATATTTCCTGATTTATAAATATATATATAATTAATATAAAATACATATAAATATTACAATTAAGAAACCAAATCAGACTTTTCATCCTGAGTCTATTTTAAGTCTTTTCTGCCTCAGCAGACTTTAAATATATTGGTTTTGTTCTGTTTTTGTTTTTTTTCAGGGCAGGGTTTCTCTGTGTAGCCCTGACTATCCTGGAACTCGCTCTGTATACCAGGCTGTCCTGGAACTCAGAGATCCGCCTGGCTCTTTTTATGTGTATGGGTATTTTTGTCTGAATGCATGTCTGTGCATCACTTGCATGCCTGGTTTCTCCAGACGCCAGAAGAGGGCGTCAGATCCCCTAGAACTAGAGCTAACAAAGAACTGTGAGCCACCCTGTGGGTTCTCAGAATCCAACACTGGTATCCTGGAAGAGGCAGGTACCCTGGAAGGGGTGCTCTTAACTGGTAAGCCATGTCTTCACCCTGAGTTAATAGCTTTAAAATTGGCAAATTTAGAACCAGAATTTTCTGAATTAGGACACTCTCTCATTATATTACATTTCATCCTTTTGTTACCTGATTTTGTTTTGAGACAGAGCCATGACTGTCCTGGAACTATGTAAGCCAGGCAGGCCTCAAACTCGCAGAGATCCTCCTGCCTCTGCCTCCAGAGTGCTGAGATGAAAGATGTAGTCCACCAAGCCTACGTCTATTGCCTGACTGTTGTATTTTGTTTGTGTTCTGACAAACAAAGCTTGCCTGGAGATCAGAGGGCAGAGCTAGCCACTAATTAATCATATAGGCCAGCCAGTGGTGGCACACACCTTTAATCCCAGCACTTGGGAGAGGGAAGCAGGATGATCAGGAGTTCAAGGCCATCCTCAGCTACACAAGACTGAATCAGTCTAAAAGGAAACAGAGCCAGGCAGTGGTAGCTCACACCTTTAATCCCACTACTACGGAGGTAGAGACAGGAATATAAGGCGAGTGGAGTCAGGACCATTCAGTCTGAGGATTTGTAAAGACAGGAGCCCCACACATTCAGTCTGAGATTTCAAAGAGGTTAAGAAGTGTCTGGCTGTTCTGCTTCTCTGATCCTTCAGCTTTCACCCTAATATCTGACTCTGGGTTTTTATTTAATAAGATTAATTAGGGTCGAGCTTCACCTCACTTTTTAGTACTCATTAATATTTTAAATTCCTTAACCTACACTGTCACCATGCAAGGAAAGACACCCAGCAAAATCCATATGTAGTTTAGTGGTTCAACATATAGCTTCTGAACTCCAATGGCCTAGAATCAAGTCCTTTACCTCTGTAAAATGGAAATATCACCACTCATTTCAAGTTCTGTGAGGACTAAACATGTGCATCTGTCATGACCTACTTATGGACTTTTAATTACTTTAGTTATAATGGCTCCTGTTTTCTTTGCATATAAAGAAACGAGCAGAAATTTCCAGAGTATATTCCAAGCAGCGATGCTATTTTGTAATAGTTTTGTTACATATGTGTGTACATGTGTGAGTCATGCAAATTTAATTTTTTCAATGCTTTCATTTTAAAATGTGAGAAGCATTGAATTAAAGCACCCAATAACGCACATAACAGTGCCTAGCACACACTTCATGCTGTCTATTCTTGTTACTTGCTAATATTGTGTACCTATTAAAGCTGTTTGCAGTTAGGCAAAATAATGTCCATTTGGAATGTCTGACACATCATCGCCATGTAAGTCCAAACAGAACACTCTTCTCCCCCTAATGTCCACATAGTCAAAGGCACTTCGGTACATGTTTGTTGCTTGGCCCACAACTGATTACATTGAGGAGTCCACAGATTAGGATTTATCTCTCCCATACTCTGTCAATATTTGCAGAAAATGGAGGATTGGAGTCAGGTAAAATAGTTTACTTTATCTGCTAAGGTACTGGAATGGGAAAGCCAGAAAACCACCACATGAATAACTGAGTCATACAGAAAACTGCTTGCTCCCCTGAAGTCAGATAGATGAAAATGTGTCACAGATTAGCAGATATTTGAATCTTTGGGCAAGACTGAATCACTTCCACTTCGAGTCCTCAACCAGAGGCTTCTTGTTTTTCTTTTGTTGTTGTTGTTTTCGAGACAGGGTTTCTCTGTGTAGCTTTGCGCCTTTCCTGGAACTCGCTTTGGAGACCAGGCTGGCCTCGAACTCACAGAGATCCACCTGCCTCTGCCTCCCGAGTGCTGGGACTAAAGGCGTGCGCCACCACCGCCCGGCCAGAGGCGTCTTAAAATAATATTTGAGCCTGGACAAGTGTCACCAACACCAGGAAAAACTAGAAGGCACTAAACATACTAACAGGGGATAACTATACAGCAACTGGTTATCTGAGTGGCTTCTTTAAAAATGACAAGTTCAGCTGGGCAATGGTAGCCCAAGCCTTCTATACCAGCACTCGGGAGGCACAGGCAGGCGGATCTCTTAAGTTCCAGGCCAGCCTGGTCTACAGAGCTAGTTCCAGGACATTCAAGGCTACAGAAAGAAACATTGCCTTCAAAAAACAAAAAACAATAAAACAAAAAAAAAAAACGTGACAAGTTTGCAGGAAGTAGAGGCACAGGCCGTTAATCCCAGCAGGCAGTTCAGATCTCTGAGTTCAAGGTCAGCCTGGTCTATAGAGTGAGTTCCAGGACAGCCAGGACTATCCTATCTGAAAACAAAACAGACAAAAATGACAAGCTCATCTAATGCCTGAAAGCAGCATTTAAATTCTTTCTCTTTTTTGAAACAAGATACTGCTATGTAGCCCCGGCTGGCCTCAAACTCCACCTGTTTCTTCCTCCCTAGAGCTAGGATTAAAGATGTTTGTTACCATGTCCTGCAACATTTAAATTCTGTAATCCTGCCAGTGTTGGTGTATGCCTATAATTCCAGTATCTGAGAGGCGGAGACAAGAGGATCTGGAGCTCAGGGAAAGCTGGGCTACGTGGTGTGACTCTGCACTGAGAACACAAGGGCTGGGACTCTGGCGAAGAGTTTGGCTAAAATGTTCAGGATCCTATGTCTCATCTCCAGCTCTGCAAAAACAAATTCTAAAACTCTGGTTTAAATAAAAATCCGCAAAGGTGCTCACCAGTAAGGAAATCAGATGTTTATGGATTCCATTCTCCATACTGAGTGACCTTAAATCAGTCACTTCATCTTTCTGGGTTTGTCTTACTCTGCTGGGGGAAAAGAGAGAGAAATAAATACCCACTGCAGTCTGGGGACTGTGATTAAAAAAAAAAAAAAAGAAAGAATAGAATCTGGATTGGCAAATCCAAAACCACCAGCGGTTCCTCTTGACTCTATTTGAGGCCATAACTTCGAATTTGCAGATCACTGGACAGTTGAATAGTGAGACACAGGCTAATGGTTTTAGCTATAAATCTTTAATCAGTTAACACCACAACCTGTACAAGATCTAGAAAAACAGGTTTCTAGATGCTTGGATACTTGGCTAAGTACTGCACACACACACACACACACACACACACACACACACACACACACACACACACACACACACCCGCCTGCCATTACTCAAAAAAAAAAAAAAAAAAGGCAGCGTTAGGCCTGCATTTTATGCACATGCCCAACAAGGGAAGTGGAGAGCCTGAGTTTCTGCCAGCCAACTTCCAAGTGGCCCGCCGTTTCATCCGGAAAGAACTTGGGGACGGCCTGAGAATGATAAGACGCACGTTCTAGAGCTTTCGGGCCCACCCCAATTTCGCGTCGGCGAACACGTGTCGCCATTTTGTGGGGAAACATGGCTGCCAGCCCTCCCCGCTGAGGGAATCAAAGGGGGCGGAGGAGGGCCACGTTAGCCCTTTCTCTGAGGTATTAAACACGTTCCCACGACCTCCTCTAGGGTGGCTAGGCCCGTGGAACAAGAAAAGGCCAAGAAACCCTAACTCGCCCTCCAGAGGCTCGATGGCCATTTCCTGGCGTGAGGCTCGCGGGCAGGAAGACCTCCCAAGATGGCGGCCGCGCCGAGGGCTGGCGGCCTCGGAGAGCGTGGCCCGGGAGGCGCGCGGGCGGGCGGGCGGGCCACGGCGGGCGCCTTTCAGTGCGCCTTAGTGCTCTAACGTCTAAAGAGGCTGGCTGCCGCGGGAGGCAGCGCAGGGGCAGGAGGTGGGGCTTCCCGGAGACCGGGCGACAAAATGCAAACAAAGCATTATGTAAAGAGACGGACGCCATTCTTCTCGCGGCCCGTGGCCCGAGCCCGGGCCCACACCGCCAGAGCGGCCGCCCGGGCGGCGCCCGCTGGGCTGGGGCGGCCTCCAGTCTTTCTGCGCACCGGACGCAGCCACCGGACGGAGGCCAAGGTGGGGGTTGGGACGAGGCGCCCGGACGCCGGGGACGAAAGGGCCCCACGTGCCCGCCAGAGCGCGTGCACGCCCGCCGGGCCGCGCCTCGCCGCCCCTCCCCCCCGGAAGACGCCGCGGGCCCCACCCGACCCCCCCCCCACGCCCGCGCATGCGCCCTGGCCACCTCGCGCGCACGTTTTAAACCCGCGGCCGTCCCAGCTACCGCCTGCAAGTGGCCTCCGCGATTGCCTGTGTCGCTTCGCGTGCGAACCCATCGGTGGAGAGGGAAAATGATCTCTGTCTCCGTCACGAAACAGTCATTTTTTTTTTTCTCAGTCCCCTGCCGGTGCCGCTAGAGTTCATAAAACACGTGCTCCCTCTCAAACCCCTGCCGGACCCCCAGGTTCGCCCTCGTCGTGCGTTCCCTCCCCTCCCGCGGTGCCACTGGGTCACTTTTCTCAAGCACCGCGCGCGCGCTGGCGCAGTCTTGTGACCTAAAAAAGCCGGTCCTCTTTTTTTTTTTTTTTTCCCTCCTCCTCCTAGGGGTCCTGCGCGGCAAGCACTTCCGGGGTCAAAGGGTACGCGGGGTTGAAAGCGGGCTTCCCGCCCCGCCCAGACCGCCGAGGCTGCCGCCGGAGTCGCCACCGCCGCGCCCTCGCCCACCCGCCCGTCCGCCGCTCCCGGCCCCGCTCGCCCCTGCCGCTGCCGCCGCTCGCCTTGCGACGCCGCCGCGGCCTCCCTCCCGCGCCCGCCCGCTCCCGCGGCCCCCCCGCTCGCCTCGCGCCGGCAGTTCGGGCCTACTCCTCCCCTCCCCCGCCAGCCGCCCAGGACTTGACCACGTAACGAGCCCAACTCCCGAACGCCGCCCGCCGCTCGCCATGGACGCCGGTGTGACTGAAAGCGGACTCAACGTGACTCTCACCATTCGGCTGCTGATGCACGGAAAGGAAGTAGGCAGCATCATCGGGAAGAAAGGGGAGTCGGTGAAGAGGATCCGCGAGGAGAGCGGCGCGCGGATCAACATCTCGGAGGGGAACTGCCCGGAGAGAATCATCACGCTGACCGGGCCCACCAATGCCATCTTTAAGGCCTTCGCCATGATCATCGACAAGCTGGAGGAAGATATCAACAGCTCTATGACCAACAGTACGGCGGCCAGCCGGCCCCCGGTCACCCTCAGGCTGGTGGTGCCCGCCACCCAGTGTGGCTCCCTGATCGGCAAGGGCGGCTGCAAGATCAAGGAGATCCGCGAGAGCACGGGGGCCCAGGTCCAGGTGGCGGGGGATATGCTGCCCAACTCGACCGAGCGGGCCATCACTATCGCCGGCGTGCCGCAGTCGGTCACCGAGTGTGTCAAGCAGATCTGCCTGGTCATGCTGGAGACGCTCTCCCAGTCTCCGCAAGGGAGAGTCATGACCATCCCGTACCAGCCCATGCCGGCCAGCTCGCCAGTCATCTGCGCGGGCGGCCAAGATCGCTGCAGCGACGCGGCGGGCTACCCCCACGCCACCCACGACCTGGAGGGACCACCTCTAGACGCCTACTCGATTCAAGGACAACACACCATTTCTCCGCTCGATCTGGCCAAGCTGAACCAGGTGGCAAGACAACAGTCTCACTTTGCCATGATGCACGGCGGGACGGGATTCGCCGGAATTGACTCCAGCTCTCCAGAGGTGAAAGGCTATTGGGCAAGTTTGGATGCATCTACTCAAACCACCCATGAACTCACCATTCCAAATAACTTAATCGGCTGCATAATCGGGCGCCAAGGCGCCAACATCAATGAGATCCGCCAGATGTCCGGGGCCCAGATCAAAATTGCCAACCCGGTGGAAGGCTCTTCTGGAAGGCAGGTCACTATCACTGGCTCGGCTGCCAGTATTAGCCTGGCCCAGTATCTAATCAATGCCAGGCTTTCCTCTGAGAAGGGCATGGGGTGCAGCTAGAACAGTGTAGGTTCGCTCGTAACCCCCTTCTGCTGTTTTCCCATGATCCAACTGTGTAATTTCTGGTCAGTGATTCCAGGTTTTAAATAATTTGTAAGTGTTCAGTTTCTACACTTTATCATCCGCTAAGAATTTAAAAAGAAAATCACATTCTCTGTTCAGCTGTTAATGCTGGGATCCATATTTAGTTTTATAAGCTTTTCCCTGTTTTTAGTTTTGTTTGGGTTTTTTGGCTCATGGATTTTATTTCTGTTTGTCGATAAGAAATGTAAGAGTGGAATGTTAATAAATTTCAGTTTAGTTCTGTAATGTCAAGAATTTAAGAATTAAAAAAATGGATTGGTTAAAAACGCTTCGTATTTGAACAAGCTGGGAATTGCTATCTTAAACTCTTTTGTTGGTGCTTTCTTTTCCCCTCCCTTCCCCTGGTAAGTGTAGGGTGCGTGGAGGCCAGAGGGAGAAGGGTGGGCCGCGCTTGTTATTCTCGGCAAGCTTTCCTTGCCTTATCGGTAAGATTCCGGTCCCTCTGCCTCAACAAAGAAATGGCAGGTTGGGCCTGCTTCGGCATGTTTACAGAGACGGGGTCTCTTCTTAGGAGTGACATCTCTCTCCAACTAAGTTCCAGAGACGGGCCGCTGCCCATATCTCTGGTAGAAAATACAGGGTTTTCTCAGGTGGAAAAATTGCCCATTCAGTAGGACAGGATGAATGGAGAACATCCTGTCTGTCTAGCCAGTGGTTCCCTACCCCCATCCCGCGGGGAAAACTTAGCCAGAACAATAAAATATTCTGGGCAAGGGTTGTGGGAGGGGGCAGGGACTAGGAGGAAAGGGAAACACAGGGGTGGGAAGGAGGGCCACAGCTGCTGGGGGATTGCAGGGGCTTGGGTTGGGGCTGGGATGACACTCCAGAAGGACCACGTGGGGCGCATGCACCTGTGGCAAGTAGCCCAGTCAGAAGGTTACACCTGCCAAGTGAGGTGCCCAGAAACAAAAGGGTATTTTTCTGATTTTCCTCAGCTGTGTGCAATGTTTAGCTAATAATTGCAGGAAATAATCCTGCCTAAGTGGGACAGCCCTCCCAGGAATGTAGACCAACCCAGGGTGCTAAAATGCAGATTCCTGAGTCCCACTACTCACTGAATCAGAAAACTGCATCTTTAATGGCCATTAAGAGCTCAGAGTTTATCTTAAGTTTGAAAACAGCTGTGGTAAAGGCCTAGTAATCCAGTCCCTATCAGCTGAGTCTAGGCTGGACCCAGAGCAGAAAAAAAAGTGGCTACTGGACACAACAGTAAAACAACAGGCAGTTAAGGTGCCAAAGTGGGCAGTTCAAACCCAGGCAAAGGAATTTTTTATAGAGGAGGTTATTGGCAGTAAGCATTTGTTGATGCTTCTCTGCAGGACACCACTGTACAAGCCTATTTAATCCCTGGAGGGGAGATTTCCATGCTCTGCTACCTTGCTGTGGGGGTTGCTGAAAGGAGGCCAGGTCATAGAGTAGACTTGGTTCTTGTGGCCTTGAGCAAAGCACTGGAAGCTGAAGGTGTTAAAAGAACACACTCCCTGAGCTTGGGACAAAAAAGCAATCTTAGAACAAAATAAATTAGATGGCCAATGGCCTATTTGTGGGAGTCGAGATTGCCTAGAATACACGGGCAGAGAAGACCTGATTAAAAGGATGTATACTAGCCAGGTGTGTGCATAACCTTAATCCCAGCACTCAGGAGTCAGACAAGCAGAACTCTGACTTTGAGCCCCTTACATAGTGAGTTCCAGGCCAGCCAGGACTACATAGAGAGGCCCTGTCTCAAATAAAAAAAATAATGCGAGGCTTTGGTGGTGCACACATTTAATTCCAGCACTCTGAAGGCAGAGTTCTTGAGTTCGAGGCCAGCCTGGTCTACACTATGAGTTCCAGGACAGCCAGGGCTACACAGAGAAACCTTGTCTTGAAAAAGGACCAGAAAAAGGAAGGGGGAAAAAAAACCAAAACTGATGTGTACTAAACTTGGCTGAGTGACCAGGAGGGGCATGGGGCCAGCGAGGGCCTAGTACAGTGTCTTCTGGAAACTGAGCACTAATCAAGATTATCTGGGCGGCAAAGCATAGCGTGGCTCCCTCCTTGGAGAAATGAAAGGCAGGAGCAGCCACTAGAAAGTCATCTTGTGAAGGAGGTTCTAATACAGGCTGGGATGTAGCAAGCGGAATGCACACAGGGGAGGCTGAAGACAGACACAAAGAGAACAATGTATCCCGACCTGGTGACAGATTTATACACCGGCACAAATGGCCCACCAGTAACTAGAAAAGAAGTCGCAGCTACATGCCAGCAGGTAAATACGGACCAGAAGCTAAGTGGTGAAGAGGTGTCATTCTGATGACGAGGGACTTAAGTAGTCTTGGGTGCTGGTGTCTGTGACACAGCAGGATCTCAAAAGTAGTTTAGTGGTAGAGCAATTGTCTGACATGTCCAGGCCCTGTGTTCGGTTCAGTCCCCGACACCATACAAATAAATACTTGAGAGAAATAGTTGAAGAAGCAGGATAGTTAGCTAGATTGTGGCTTGAGAAAAGTGAAAGAAAGTTTCCAGGCTGATGAAGGGGCAGTAATGCTGAAGGGAGTTGTTTTGTTTTTCGAGACAGGGTTTCTCTGTGTAGTTTTGGAGCCTGTCCTGGAACTCACTCTGTAGACCAGGCTGGTCTCAAACTCACAAAGATCTGCCTGGCTCTGCCTCCCGAGTGCTGGGATTAAAGGTGTGCGCCACCACCACCCAGCTGGAGATTTTAAAAAACAAACAAGATGTGATGGCATAGGCAAGCCCAGCCATCAGAGGCTAACACTAGAAGCTCACAAGTATGAAGACCAACCTATATACTGAGACCCCTATCTCAAAAACAAAACACACAGAGCCAGGCATGTGTCCAAGCCTTAAATCCTGGCACTCAGGAGGCTGAAGCAGGCAGATCTCTGAGTTCAAGGTCAGCTAGGGCCACATATCAAGAACCTGTCTCTAAAGAAAAGAAATTCCCTTACCCACCCACTCCCCCGACAAAAAAAATACAGGTACAACATTTAGCCAGGTGTAATGGTTCTTGCCTTTAACCCTAGCACTCCAGTGGCTACAGGAGCAGTTCAAGGTCATTCTCAGCCACAAA